GTTTTACTGCATACATGTCTCGCAATTTATGTAATAATGTTGCGTAATATTTACCATTGACAGTGGTATTAGTTTCTTTAAAATATATCAAAAGAATTCCCTCACAATCCCAAAAGATCATCGTGGCCATCACCTTTTTTGTTGACTGCCAGACTCTGGAATTTTCTTGGAGGTGCTTCACCCTTGCGACGCCATTCCATTGATTCTTTTTTCGATAAAGGGTCATAATAGAGAATCATACTTTCATCTCCCGTCACAATAGTTTCTATGACAGGCTTCGGTTCCGACCCACAGAGTTCCAAAAAAGACCTCGATTTCTGAGATTTCCTTGACCTTTAAACGTAGATCACAATCGAAACAATATCTTCCGTTATGACCTCCACTGGTCGACCAGTTCTTGAATAGTCTTCAAGGGACTCCTGCCCCATTCGAAAACGTTTTGCCCATTCTTTTACTACAGAATACGAAGGAGAAGTTTGGCCGTACATACCATCCAGCCTTTCTTTAATAATTTTAGGTGCTAACTCTTCTTTTGTCAAAAAGTTTATAACTGCTCTATTCTCAATTTGCGTTATGAGCGACATTTTTTCGGACACATCTTGTTTCAAATGCTGTCAATACAAAACTATTTGACGCAAGACTTCAATTTTTTTTGCAGCCTACTAAGATATATATTTAAAAGAAGACAAGGTTTTATCGTGATACTGGAGCTGCATCTATTTCAGGCCGGGAAATTTTGGCACTAACCTCGTATTTTACAGGTTGTTTCTTAGGGTTTGGTCCACAGTTAACAAAACACACGAATAATTTTGAAACACTGTAATGGTCATTGACGTTTCAACCGGCAACCCAGGACTTTCTCAAAAACTGCAAAAACAAAGGACAAAAAAGCGATCATACCAAAAATTAGTTCGCTACCAAAAAATAAAACGTGTAACACTAAGTATCTTAAACAGTAGACATATACGTATTTAAATAGTAAAATATTACAAAAACAAATGAACATATATTAAGCCATACTCACAAATTACTTATGGCCATTGATACGGTTCTTCAACAGTTGGCTAGTCTGAAATTCCTATTTAACTAATTGTGACCCTTGTAACAGATTGTTACTGAGCTTCCCTTAAACACATTCGAGATTTTTTCCGATAAATTTGGTATGTATGTTTTTTTGATGGTTTTCCTTGACAGAAATCTTCTAGAATTTGTGATTTTTTTTTTAAATAGAGTTAATTAAGTCAATAGTTTTAGTGTGTACTTAGCCTTATATATAGCTTCTTCTGTACTCTGGATCAGATAGATTTATAGCTCTATCTGTTTAGTTTTGTGCGGTATGCAACCCAACATACTGGATTTATTCCCGGCGCCGGCCGCGAAGGAGAGAGAGAAGCATGTCGGCGGTGAACGAATAGAGACCATGTTTTTCTTTTGTCTTTTGTCTAGTCTGTTAGTATTGTTATCTATCCGGCAGTAAGAGGAATAAAGTTTTATGTAGTGATAACGTTAGTGTTTTTGAACCAACGAAAATACAGTCCACCAATTTTCAAACGCAACACTATCAGCCAACCCGACAATAACAGTCTTTTTGCCATCTTAAATGCTATATATAAATATATATATAAATATATATATATATATATATATATATATATATATATATATATATATATATATATATATATATGCTCGTGCTCGCATTGAAGATGCCAAGTGAGATTTTGGCGAAACGTCTGCAGGATTCCAGTCGGATGCAGGATTCCAGTCGGATTTCAACAAGCGAACGGATCCCGGAATATCGTATTTTTCCATCCGTGAATCAATACGTGAAAAAAAAAAAATATATATATATATATATATATATATATATATATATATATATATATATATATATATATATATATATGGAGAGCATTTTACTAGTTTTTTTTTTATATAAAAAGAAGGTATCCCTTCTTTAAATAATGAAAACCCGATGTGTTTATGTATGTAATATATTAAGATTGGCCCACTTACGGAAATATACTTGCCAAGGTTATTGCTTATCTATGCCTATTTGTTAACGCAATGATTTGTAATGCACCAATTAGAAAATGATGAAATGTATATATAGCACGTAACGCACATTTCTTATCATGCAATTTTGTAATGACATTTGTTTTATGAATTGGAACAGATTTATCTTTTTATCACATTATTATATTTCAGTAAGTTTTTGCAAAGAATATTCGTTAAAATTTATTACAATTACTTACTTAATCTCATTAGCCTCATTCAAAAGACCAAAATACCAATTAATAGTTATAAAATACAATAATCTACTAAAATTCGAGTTAGTCTGCTTTGTAATAGTTTTTATTCATATGTAAATTTCCATTTCATTCAGCCTTTTAAAGATCTATCTATGGAATCTCGGGTTAAAAGTTAGAGGCTTGCCAACCATGTAGTTACGAAAAATAAGTCAGTTTGCCGTTAACTTCGTTGTCAATGTAAGTAGTTAAGCTTTAAAAAAAAACACACACACATTCTTACATTCGGTTTTAATATTTGAAATTGAAAACCTTTTATGCAGTAGTATCGAGGGTAGTGGCCTTTAAACCTTAAATATACTCGGATTTTCGTTCCTTAATTTTTGGTATAGATAAAAATGGAGCCCATGTAAACTTTTCACTGTAACTTCGTTTTTCTTGATTTATCACATCAAAGAGAAACATCGCGAAACATATACCCTCCGAAGGACCATGTAATGCGATATAATATTAGGAAATCGAAATCAAACAAATGAAACGTATAGTCTTTATTTATGATTGTATTTTAGTAGATCGATTATTATGCACGTACGCTTCTAAGTGACATTATATTCTGGTGCCAATAGTTCGTGTGGAGTGGACCTGTTCCTGCAATTACAGTTACAATATCTGCGTGCGTTTCCTCATATTTTATATCTAATTTTCTGTCTTATTCTATCACAAGAAAGTGTATTTTTCAGTTTGAAAGTACATATATAAACCTGTTAATTGTAATATTCTTATTGATTGATGTATTCAATTTATAATTTATAATAACGGGACTTAATGGCGTAAATTTTCACACAACAATTTTATATACACTATCACTGTTTGTATGAAAATAATGATGCATCGAACATCTATTAAGGTAAATTAAATAGAGTAGCGCTCTTGGCACGCAAAAAATGAAAAATCCAATTTAGGTCCATTGTAACGTCCTAATAATGCGCGTTTTTCATGGTTCCGTTGCTACCAGATCAATGAACTTACCGGAATATAATAGCGGAGCAGATTCTGGGAACGTACTTTTTTTTCGAAAATATCGACACCGTCATCGTCACGTACAAAATTCGTTTTGAATTCCCACTTTTGGTAATAGAAGGAAATTTTATTTTAATTAGAATAGGGTGTTTCAAAAAACGTTCCGCTAATTTCGACTGTAAACAGAATTTGAAAAAATAACGTCAGTGTTATTAATTGTTTGTGTTAATGTGTCCCAAAACGCCTCCTTTAGAAGATACAGGTTTCTGAAAAAATATTTCTAATACTATTTAACTTCAAAACCGATTTTAAACAAGAGTACCTTTTTTTTATGAAAAACTGTTCAAAAAATATCGTTTTTGGTCAAAACATTAAAAATATCCCAATCCCAAAGATTTGTGGTTTAAAACTTCTATTTATCCTAGAAATTAGGGGACCCCACAGTTATTACACAGGGTTCCTCAAACTCGATGACCTCTTTATTAGAAGTTTATAGCCAAGAAAACGATAGGCGTTTTAAAGATCTAGTGAGATTGTAATCTATCGGACGATAAAATGGGAGTAATTTTTTGTGCTCTGACATTTGATTTTACTTGGAATAATTATATGGAGGAAGACAGTATGCAACATCTGTTCAGCTAAGCTGGAGGATAAACTATTACATACATATTGTTTGCTAATAGCATACCAATTTAACACTTTTGCCATTTCTTCTAGTTTTGTAATAAATATTTTTGACTTTCAGTATCCGGAACATTGTTTAAAAGATAACAGTTTTCAAAAAGTTCTGCACTTGTATCTTCAACATAGCACAAGATCCTTAATATTCTTCGCTGACAACAGCGAACAGTTTGAAATAAATTCATCCCTCTTTTCAATTTTCAATATCAATTCCGTTGCCGATTACCACGCTGTGTTAAACCATTTTAAAATAATCAAGGTATCCAGGAAACTATCAAACCTGAAATAAAATAACTGGTGTTCTGTTTATAATAAGCACCTTCTATTCTGTGAAAGGTTTATAAGCTACGCCATATAAAGTTTTGCATGCAGCGCTTTCATACAAATAACTGTTGTATTTAAACAAATTTTTTAAGACCAACTGTTATGATTATATAAAATAATGCTAGTAATAAGTTATCCTGTGCATATAATAGCTGGATTTCCTATTAACCACTTGATAGCCCTTAATAGAATCTTTGGTTAAATCACAATTCTTCATCTTAATCAACATTTATAGTATACGATTGTTTAGAATTGAATTGAAAAGGTTTTTGTTGCAAATACGTATTAATAGTATGTTATGCAACAAATGCGGTAAACGGCATTTGACTCACGAGTTTATTTGACACGACCTGAGCGCAGAGGAGCGAGTTTTTAATAAACGAGTGAGTTAAAAAGTTTACCGAACGTGTTGCATACTATATTTTTTCTACGACCGTTAGTTTTTGGCTACACTGACATGACCGTCTGAATTGACAAACGTCAAAATTCAAAGCGTGGGAAATATCTCCGAAAACATCCGATTGCTCAAAAATCTGTGTGGAAAAATCTCGGACATGTCCGAAGTGGCTCGGATTCATGGGAAACGAAACTGACGTGGCGCTTTCCGCACGCTAGATCGGTGGGTAATTAGGTATTTTACAGACGGGAGCAGAAAAAATATTTTAATGCGGTCGGTATCATCGTCAACCCAAATAGATAACCGTCATTTTCGTTTTTGTATTTCAGGGCATTGTCTACCATCCACCAAACAATGGTTAAACCTCCGCCTATTAGCTCTCTGGCATCGAAAGAGCAATCTCGGGATTTTATGGCGTTGTTCCCGGATGTCGTCAGGGAACTGACAGACGCCGGCAAACATCAAGAAATGCCTGAAGTGATGCGCCGGTTTGCCAGAGTAAGTTGCCGAGATTTGCAAGTTGTAAGTTCCATTATCCGTGATTTTTTCCAGATGTTGCAGTACACTGTACCTACAGGTAAAAAGAATCGCGGTTTGACCGTAATATCATCTTACAATCTACTCGAGGATCCGCAAAATTTAACCCCAGAAAACCTTGGGCTGGCGAACATACTAGGTTGGTGCGTCGAAATGGTAAGTTTTTCTTCGGTTACATATTTCGTTGTAGACATGTCAGTTATTCGTTCAAGTTACTAGGTAGATATAAATTTTAAAATTGCCGTTTAATTATTAACTTTTAATGTCCGCTTAAATTAGTTACCGTCAAAATGAAACTGGTTCAGTTGGTATTCCTGCAATTGGTTTTGGTAAATCCGTAATAGTTATTAACATTCGAATTTTGATCGTCCCGATTAATAGAGTGGCTATTTCTTATGAATTGATTTTTGAAGAAACTAAGATGGCAATAGATCACTTTTGGCAATATTGGTGAAAAAATCTCAAAATTGTGTTCAAATGGGAATAATCAGTTTAGTAGAAATTCATAAAATGTTCCTTTTTCACATTTAAGTGGTGGATATATGTTAGAAATGCATATAAGGATAAGCTTTTTTATATTTAGTTGTCAGTTTTTATATTCCCCAATTTGCGGAATTATTACCACATCCTGCAAGTATTTCTGACCCAAGTTAGGCAACAATAATCCCTTTTACAAAAAGGAAAATCGGACATTATTTTACTAAGTAGTGAATAACTATATAAAATTATTGTAACTAGCAGTTTAATGTGTAAAGTTTGGCATTCTTTCGTACTTTTTTTTACATTTGACAGTTTTTTAATGTTAATGAAAAATAGCAGAATATATTAAACAAGCTTCATACCCCATGAAAAGATGCTCCTGGGGCCATAATTGAAGCCCTAAAAGTTTCAAGTAAAAATAGTCAGTATTTTTCATGCAATTAGTTTGTTAATAACTTTATTTTTAAGCTTATTTGAAACGATCCGGAAGTCCTGCGGCCATGAACGTATTCGCAAATTTAGGTTCAAGGGTTATTCTAGTAATATATAAAAAAGAAAATTAGGAAATATCGATTTTAAATTGGTTAAATCATTTTTCAAAGGGACTCATCGGAAAATAAACATATCGAAACACCGATAAATGGAGGTGATAAATAATATCTTTTGTCGAATTAAAAAAAAAGAATTAAGAATAAACCATTGTAGCCTTGTTTATGCACATGAAGAAATTATTGCAGTCATAGTGGAAGGTCAAATTTTCATGAGCAAAAATTGTGGATCTTATTTTTTCAAATTTAAATTCGCAGCTGTTTTGTTGGGCTTGCGTGCGGGAAAAATAGGCTCGGACGCGTCAAGCGACCCTCACTTACTTTGGTTGTGTTCTTTTCGATTTTTTTTTTTTAGTTGTAAAATTGTTGGGGGGAGAAACTTTTTCCATCAATACGTTTTTGAAATATATGCATATTTTCGAAAAAAATTGAAATCTCCGTACCCGAAAACGAATTTTATCAAAAAACGAGGCAAATTTTTGCCTTTAAGGATACGGTTTTCCGATCTCCTTTTACCCCTTTCCCCGTTTTTTTTTTAAGTCGTCAAAAAATGTCAGCCATTACCTCCAGTTTACTAACTGATTTAAGCAATTGGCACACTTTTATTTTTTGATGTTACCAGAAAGAGATTGCGCTCACTCCCATCGTCGTGGAACTTCCTGATTGTTTCAAATAAACAGTTTAAGAAAACGTATTAAGTTATTAATAAATTAATTGTGCCAGAAAAAATTGAAATTTTTACTTGAAATTTTCGAGACTTCTTTTATGGCCCTAGAGACTTCTAGACATAGCTTGTTCAATATGTTCTGCGATTGTTAATTACCAATTTTAACAAAAACCATTTTGGATGATTTTTTTGTCCTCACAAATACTAATTCGTGTATTCCTTCCGTTTATTAGGAAATAAAAAAAAAGATTTTTTTTCTGTTAGATCACTGGTTGTTTTTCTATAATTAACTGAATTTCCTTTAATTATTTGCTGAACTTTACCCAGTAATGGAACTAATAAAAACATAGTATTATTGGCTAACGATATATTAAAGCAGTGTCACCACCATCAAGATCAACTTATTCAGATCGATTTATTTTAATAGAATAGGATTTGCAATTAACTATACGATGTAGTTTGCGACCTCTAATATTTAAATTCTCTTAATTTTCCCGCACTAAAAAAGTCTATAATAGAAATGTGCAAATTATGAGAATAACTAAAAAAATTCATTTTCTTTCAATTTCATTTCTGGAGTGGATGGTTTATGGCGTTAACTTGAGAAAGAATCAGCAGCTTTTTTTCAAAATGGACGTAAACCGAGGGTGTAATGCGCGATGCCGATTAGCTTTAATCTCGGTGCAGAGAGAATAAGATTTTTTTATTTCACTTTTCATAAAACTAGTTTTACAGTTTTGCGATTTTTGGTTTTTTTAACCATGCCCAACTGCAATCTTATCTATATCTTGGTATAAGAAAAACGGTCGCTTTCAAAAAAATTCAAAACAAAAATCGTGTTTCCAAAAATTGACTACGAGACTTTATTATTAAATTCCCTGTTAGGCATATAACTCTAAATGTGAACAAAATCAACTTTATTTTTGGTCTAAAACCTACAACAGAAATAATATACGGACAATTGTCCATTCGTCCTAATGCGTTTTTGACTGCGAGTTATATTTTAGTATATTATGCAACTTTGATAAACGGTATTTTAGTCTCGAGTACCTGATAAACATGCTTATGGGTATGTTTTTTCACAAGAGCAAGCGAGTGACGTGTAACGTGAGCTTTAAAACTGACAAATGTCCAGAGAGTTATCACGTCAAAATACCATCGCTAAAATTTACCGAAAACATCCTATTGCTCCGCTGCCCGCGACTCATCTTCCACCCGAAGTGGATAGATCGGTGCATAATTGGGTAATTTAGACTAGGTAGTAGAAAAAAACAATTAATTAATCCAAATATTGTTAACACAGTAAACTGCGAGAGTTGCTCAACAAAATGATGTTTCTTATAAATTAAAACTTCTTCATTACATGTTTATATTAAACTGTTCACGCTCACACTATTCGACCTTAATTACTTAACACAACCAATTCACGACAGTTAAATAAATATGAACATTCATATTAGCTAAAAATAGATAGAAGGCATTTTGTACTATAAAATAAGTAAATTATCAGAGATATAATAGAATGTCGAGAGCAGCATGATTTTTTCGTTACACACAAATTGACAATTATGATTAATAGTTAAATGACTATAAATAAATAACCGACTGTACAATAATTTAACTTATACCCATAAATGATTGTAAAATTCTAAAACTCATTATTATCTTTTTCAAATTTACAATAATCAGTTTTCAAATTTACAATAGCCAAAAGAAAATTAGTTCAGCAAGTTTTTGTGGAGGGATGGGAAGTGTTGTGTTTGGCATTGAAAGTCGGGTCATAAGAATCGGTGCATAAAAAATCGTTGCTTGTTTTATCAGTTATTTTAATATAAATTCATCTAGAGAAGCACATATTTTCTTTGTATATAAGGACCTTTTGTGGAAGCAGGAAGTAGACAGCTTTTTCCAATCGGCTACCAAATCAAATAATTTCTAGTTGCGTTTTAAAAAAAAGTAAGTCTAAATAAAAAAAATGTTTTTTTTTTAATTTTGTAATTATTGATACTGATTGCAGTAGACATTGTAAAAATGGCTCCATAATTTTTCTTAGCTTTCATATATTTATATATACCAATAAATTGTTGTATGCTTATCAATTACAGGAAAAAATAAATAACTAATTTTGTACTTCCGTCTTTTTATGTTGTGAAACATTTTCGTTCAAATATTTTATATTGTCATTATTATTATCATCCTAGTCTTATACCTGGTATTAGATAATATAATGACCCTACTGCTGTAAAAATTGATGCGCCGCAGGTGGCTATAATATTTTCGGGTAATAATCTTCCGCACATGCCTCTACATTTCACCAACCGTCACTTTTGCGCCATTTTATTTAGAAACAGCAATATCCAGTTAAGTCCTGAAGATTCAATGGGATCTGGACTATTTTGAATTAAAAATGCCGCATCCAAAGTTCTTGCCGAACTGTAGGGGCATTGGTTAGAACGAGATTTTAAATTTCGTGCATGCGCGTGGCCAATGGGACTTCTTTTTTATAGTGGGTTCCTGGTCTGCATCTATGATAAGCTGTAAATGTACCTACTTATCTCAATTTTCAGTTTTTGAGCAATCAAATTGTCTCAACAAAATTCCGATTCAAGTACTACGTATACCTACAAAACATCTTTTACCCATGCAAAGAAGACCACGCAAGTAATTTGCGGTCATGAATATCCGTGACTATCATTGCAACATTTGAAATTTTTCTAAATTAGATCGCATTAATTTTTCAACGAAAAAACGAGATAAGTGTGTGGAGTTCCGCTGATGTTTAGAAAGAAAACGGCGCATCGTGCAAATTGGTGTGTGAAACTTGTCTCTACTAAATGTCATAGCTGCCTGAGGCGCAGTTTTACTGTATTTGGGGCCTCTATATTATTAAGTAGCTATATGGTTAATACCAAACCAATACCAATATGGTGAATAGAAAAGGCCAGTTGCCATAACGTGCTGCAGAGTTTCCAACCACAACATCGTACACTAAAAAAAGACGTAGGTCTCGTTTCGTAGATAGAGATACAGATACAGACTTCAGTTAATCTTTATTGCATTGGTATGTTTGCACGAAGGTTCCAGTTTGAGAGGCATATCTGCCTCAATGCTAGCGACAATATTTTCAACGAAGATTCGGTTTTAAAAACCCTCGTTCCAGGTAATCGTCAGCAAGACAAAGTTAAAACGAGAGTTTGAAAATTTGCTTTTACTTTTCTGATCATGAAGAATTTAATAATTTATATAGTTGACATTTTCTGGTCTACGTTTTTAAATTACATTACCATTTTCCGTGGCCTTGATTGCGTCTCGTCGTAATTTGAGCACAGTAATATTCTTTAAGCCCTCAAAATTCGAATTAAGTTTACGTACGTAGTTTATATATCGTGAAACAAACGAACAATTATATGTAAGACGATTTTATTTTTATTTTGCATGCACAGATAAGGTATATCTACAACTAATAGCGTTATTATAATAAATGAAATTAGAATATTTAGAATTCAAAATTGAACATCACTTTTCCATAGCTCAAGCATAAACAATATTACAGTCGTCATTTAAATATTTCGTTTTTTTTTTTCTATTCCTATAATCACTTCTGGCGGAAGAACGTTGCCGTTTCTTAGTTTAGATTTTTTTTTCGTATTTAATTACGTTTCATAAGTGATGTAAGACGATAAACGATTACCAATACTACTACCATTGAAAGAAGTTCCCAATTAATCAATCGTAAGTCTCCGATCTCATTGAAACGGCATGTTTGTGTCGATGTTTATTGACACTTTCAATGATAACGGCGAGTTACAAATAATCTTTTATTACTGCGTTCGTGTTTTTCACACTGTTGGTAGTCGACTGTTGCCTTACATAGGTTTACTTTTACTCAATCTCGTCACGTGACATGCGGAATCTGGCAAAATCTTCGAAAACAATGTTGTCGTCGTCATCATTCTCGTAGCGAGCTCTGAAATTTGAAAATATATTGTGTTATACAATGTCAAGCTATACAGAGCGTTCCTTAATGGCGCGTCGACCCTGAACGTAATACTTCCTCGATTAATTTAATTTTAACAAATACACTTCATATTAATATATGTCCTAAAGGACTTAACAAGGTAGCAGAGTTTTGAGGACAAAAAAATTTGCTTTGCATAACTCTTTGATTTAAAATGAGTTGATGATTTTAAAAACCACTGTAACTAAATGTATATAAATTTTTAATGTTTAGTTTGAAAAACTGCAGCAATGCAATACATATTTGGTCTCGTTTCTTAGATAGTACACAGAGAAAGATTTTTTCCGAACACGTTACCAAAAGTTACCACGTTATCAAAAGTTAAGACTTTTAGGACATACATTTAATTGAAGAATTATACCCTTCAGTTTTGGCGAACCGTTAACAACACCCAGTATAGTTAGATCGATCATATAAAAATTTGCTTTTAGGTTTTTCTTTCAATATGGAGGAAACACTATTCTTCTTGGTGATTATATAATTTTGCATGCAGACATCTAGAAAAATCTAGAAAATAATTTCCAGAAACAATCAGTCTTTTTTTTATACTTTAAAAATGAAAGTGAAGAATTATCTAAACCGTTATCTAATACCCGATATTTCGTGCAACTCACTCAAAAACCAAACCGAATAATTAGCAATCATTAATATATGAAATAGATTCCATATTGTGGTGAAACTGAGAGCGCCATCATCATGTCATGTTCTGCCTTGCCTAAATATTACATATAAATCGGATTTTAGATATTGTTTTATTCAGACGCTTATTAATGTCAACCAAACTTGATAATAATTTTTGCTAACTTTTTTTTACATGATACTTTTAAGTCTACTTGTTTTGGTCGAAATTTTAATAACCTTGTTTTTTGATTTTTTTTTAACAAATGTATGTGGTTTCTATAAAGAAACGGGAAAAGAAAAAAAAGTGTAACTACTCACTCTGTTTCAGTCAGCGACAGTGTGGCGTGAGGAGTACAATAGGGCCCCAAAAAATTTATTCGCTCATATTATGATTGATTACAAAAAAACGTGGAAGTTGTTTCAACTATTTCAAAAAATTGTGTAAAGACAAATATCGTTGAGTCTAGAGTTCAGTATTCTCCGAAGCACTGTCCACCTTGATCAAATAATATTTCACAAAATAACTAAATCAATTCAGCTAATGTCTATATAGTAAGTGAAAACGAAAATAGAAACAAAATAATATATAAAACCTGCTCGAACCTCAAACCTGAATTACGCCAGCATATAATTCTTATAATACGTCACAAAGCAAACCAAGATGGAACCAGAATATGATATGACTGATATTTAATTGGTTTCGTTTTTATATAATTTTAAACCACCCTACAGTTTCAAGTATTCATTTTTTTAAATTTTAATAGAGTCCTGAGAATTATGTTATGGATTAATTTTAATCTCAATTTCTTATTTTTCAAATGTTTAGTTTATTTCTAAAGATCTGACGTAACTGGAGCAGCAGCAAGCTTACCTAGCTCTGAAAATCAGAGTGGCGTAAATGGTTACTTCATTTGAATATCAAGCCAAATCACGTTCGTCCGAGATTTCTCTTTTAAAGCAACAAAAAAATATTTCTCAAATAAAGCAATATAATAATGTTATTTTATTTGGTAGCTCTAAATCGCAATTTATAACAAAGGTCCATCGTACATAAAATCGTTTTTTTAATTTTTTATGCGGTAACTGCTTCGTGTGAAAAAAAAAAACAAATCCAAATCGAATGGGATTTCCGAAAATAATTTTTATTTTTGGAGCCACCAGCGGCGTCCCATACTGATAACAATGCTAAAAAAAATGTTTTGCGCCATAAAATGTCCTTTACTGTATCATACATGTACATTAAATTTTATTTAAAAAAATCTAAAGTAATATAAAAATTATTATTAAAAAAAGAGAGAAAAGATGGACGTTTTTATCGTGTGAGTTGTGACTTAAAGGCTGGTTACACTGTGCTTGGTGCGCCGAACCTATCTGGGCAAATACGGAGCTGCACACCGTCTGACACGGGTGGTTTGTTTTGACTCAGGATTTGTGATGGGTAGTTTGCAAGGTTCTATTGATTGTCAGGAACTTTGTGCGGATCAAAGGAGGCGAACCGACCGGTTTGAGGAAGGTTCATGCAGATTCGTCAAGCTCATTCAAAGTATATCAGTAAACGTGTATTTATTCCACAAGGATAGAAATATCGTACAAGACCCGTGATCTCAGATTACATGGAGGCAAAACTAATTATTTTCGCTGACTTCTATCGATGCAGCTTATGAAAAAATAGTCAGCGTCAGGTTCCGAGATGTGTTAAAAAACGTTTTGATTCATGAATTTGAACGAAACACGTACCTATAAGCCACGCATCGTGTAAACGCCGGAAATATAAAAAAAATCTAATCCGGGATAAATAAAACTTTGCACCACCAAAAAATGTCGAATATCTCATTGTCTCCTTAAATATGTTAACAGCAACGAATGCTTTTGTTTTTTGTTAGATCTGTACAAAGAAACTAATTTTCCATACCTCTCGGTAGATTTGGTTTTCTTAATAGCCTGCACTCGGTCTCTTTCGATACTTCCAGGGGCTGGATGCAACAATTTAAAAGGCACGTCCGTCATCAGTTCGCCACCCAATGTACCGCAATTCAGTTTAACTCTTAGAGAGTAGGATATTACGATACCGATGGCATCGATTGGACATTTTCCTTCTGGTACCTATGAAAAATTATTACTAAGTCGGTAATACCTACCGCATTTATCACTAACATACCAAAGTGGAGCTCGCCAAATTTACGTCATCATCTCGGAGACGCCCATCTAAAGCCACTCCACGCCTGTCCCGATTGCTGGAAGCTAGAGGCACCAGATAGACGACTTTGGTGAAACTAGCACCTGGTGTAATCGGACATCCTTCGCGGGTCTCTAAGCTCGCGACATATTTGGAAAATTGAGCATTTACCATGGTCACCTGCAGATCGCAATATTAAATAGAGCTAATACTTAATGTTAGCTTGCGTCACTCACTTCGCAATGTTGCACCGCGTAAACTTTAATGTTCATCACCTTCTTCCTAGAATTATTGGTTATCATTATGTTAGCTCCAATTTTCTCGCCATGATAGTAGATTTCTTTGTCGAGGGTGACTTCCAGGTTTATTTTGCCACTTGAGAATGTGAAGCCTTTGGACACCAATGAACTGGGCAATCGATTGCCGCACCGATCTAAAAATAATGTTCAAGTTTATCCACAGCATCAGAAACGTCTCCGAACATGCAAATACCCAACGGAGCGTACTGCAGTTTCTTGATGGCAAGCTGTACCGTGCTGCGTCTATGGCCCTTGTCGTCTTCGTTATTACCAACCCAGCACTTGACATAGTATTCTACACCGAGGGGTTTGCCTTGGTCATCTTCACCCGGTTGGAGCGTCACCTGGAGAAAATTATGACGTAAAACCTCCGGTTTGCTTATATGGGCGTGCTTTTACCGAGCATGGAGCCATATCCGGAAACTGGAACGTGAATGGACTGGCGTTAGGTCCCATTTTTTTGACTAACTTTTCTTGGATAGGAGCGAGCTCGGTGTCCTTGTCACGTTTCTGCGGTACTACTTGGGCTGTTGCGACGACTATCTCCTTGCTGAATTTGAGGCCCATAACCTCATCTTCTTCTCGCCCATAGCGGTACACGGTGACCACCTGGGCGAAGATTTTGCGGCCCTTGAAAAACAAAACATAACTCAGTTTCAGTCAAGCTCTGAAGAAGCCAACAGGATGATTGGCGAAACGTCAGCAATTTCGACTAAGCAAAAACCGACACAGGAGGAATCCAAAAATTTTGTAAAAAGCATTACAGTAGCCTGTGGAAGTTTCTTTGAAAAAAAAAAACATAACGCATTTATAATATTTGAATCCTTAAAGAACTAATTTCGGACTCGTATCTTCTAATTTCTGTCGTTAATAGCTGACATCAAAATGTTTTCAATATTTTGACGCAAAATATAAAATGACCTTGTTATGGCGTGACAAAGATCAATTAAAATATTTTTATATATAAAGAATGTTTGCTGGATGGTTAGCCAAACTCGGCGGGAGTATTAATAAGTTAGTTACCAAGGTATTTTAGTAATAGCTGTGCCCTAAATGTCTCCGAATTTTTTATGTCATTGCGGTTAAGAATTTACAAAAATGGAGATTTTTACCTTTTTTTAGAATACTTCTAAAACTTTTTTTTGTTTGTTTTTGATGTGTAATTTCGAATCACCTATACTGACTTGCCGAAAAATGAAATTAACTTTTCGTATAATAAATGTGGTAAAGTAGATACACAAAAAAACTGTCTAATTTTTATTCCGACCCTTCGTTAGAAAATTATTTGGGTACAAAATCAGTACTTTTTCAACTATTCTTTTGTCGCTGATGGTAAACACCAAGTTAGATTACAGAAACTAATTAATTTCCACCATTTCATCAATCGGGATAAAGCTAATTCAGCGAAACTTTTACTTCACTCACCTGCAAATACTCATCTTCAACGACGACGACTCCATCGATAGGATCGGTGTAGTCGAGGTGGTCGATGAAATCCCTCTTGCTTAGATAAACTGTGACCTTACCATTCGGTGTTGTTTTCTTGAATACTTTAATCGCAACCACCATTGAAAAAGTTTTTTTTTCCGAAGAAAGTAAGCGCGGTTCAGTAGTGGACACGTGAGTCAAGGACTAACCAAGATCAAATTGGCACTGGGTTACTTCCGTCAGAAGTGTCGCGGAAGTTCATCCCCGTCGTTTTATAGGTTCGAGTTATATAAGGCTTCCAAATGTCGTCGTATGTGTAAGTGGATTTCGATCCCGTTAATTGGATTTGCTATGGATGTAAGATTTCTTGGTAGAATGTTTTTTTAATATATAAGATTTATTGGGTAAGAATATTATACCGCCATTTAGTCCTATACTCGGAAAATGTTTAGGATGAACTCGATGATGTTTTGTATACCGCAATACGACTTGTCCATTTATTGCACAGTTAATATAAAAAATTGAAAATTGCAAAATACTGTGCATTTTGGATTCTGATTTCTTATCATTATCAAACCTTCAAAGTTATTTGCGGATGACGGGTAGTTGCAAGGTTTTTTTTATAGCACGCTGTACATTAGAGGTTTGTTTGAAAAAATTAAAAGGTTGGTACATGTATTGATTGCTGATTGCTTGTGGTATATCGAGAACTGCTTCATAAAAAAATTACTTCTGGGGACCTTTACTTCAACAATCTTTGATTGCGGAAAAACCCAAAAACCACTAAAAGGCCAACCAATCTCCTAACTAGAGTTTAACAGTTTAACAGATATACTGATATTTAATAGAATTTTTAAGTACGGCCGTACGGGCCATTATACCATTAGAGTTGTATCAATCGCGATTGATTCGGTCACTTTGATTCCATCACTTCATAGGATCGAACGAACGAATCCCGCTTGTTCGTAACGATTCGATCATCTTGTTCGCTCTCACTGCCGCCTTGACCGGTCTGAAGTGACCGAATACAGGACGGCCGATCGACCGACCGTACCAAAACAAATCCAATTCACTGGAATACGATTCATTTGAATGGTTTAAGATTTAAATGCGTGACTGAGACAGGCCACGAAAAAGGAATCGAACTATTGTTATAATTATTCTATAGTAGTGAGTTGCGACATCGATTGGTAGATTTGCTTATGTATTGAATTGCATATTGAATATTCCACATAGGTATTTAATTTAAACAAATTAATGTATTACTGGTCCAACTTAGCACCTATTTTAATAAAATCATGATTAAATAAAAAGCAGAACACAGCTAAATATTATACTAACTAGAACAGAAAACATAACATATAGACACAACAATAATTCAAATTCAAATGAATCTGAATCAATCGTTTGGACTGTTCGGATTCAGTGACTATTGCCGCCTATGTTGGCATCAAAAAGTATTTAAATGAACAATTGACTGAAATGGTTCCGTCTTTTTCGAAATCGGTCACTGTTTGATTGGGTGCTCGTAAAATAAACGATTGACAGAAGACTACTCCTAACCTTATATCATGAAAATACCCAGTTGCCTGTCATCTGGCGTTACACCGTAAAATTAACAAAAATAATGCAATAAAGGTTTAAACGTGCGCACGTTAGATGGCCTCATTCAAATATTAGTTTAAAATTGATTCTACAATATTCTCCCCTTTCGAAAACATGTAAATAACGATAGAAATGAGCGATATAAGCAGTGACTTCTTTGATAAAATATCAAAAACCATCCAAGACTCCAACGAAAAACAGACAACCGAATTAAAGAAAGAAATTCAGTTTGAAGTCTCACTCGTACACCATGATATTAATGAATTAAAAGTCACCATTCTAGAAGAAAGTCATAAAAGAGTTGAACTTGAAAACAAATGCAGAAAACTTGAAAAAAAGGTTAATGACATCGAGAAAAACTTCAAAAGAAATAGTATTATAATCTTTGGATTAGATTATATCGGCAACGTCGCATTATCTGAGTTTGTTATTACACAAATTAACACACTGCTCCAACTAAACTGCATGACAGTGGAAACAATAACATCTATCAAATAGGTCGCCAACGCAAGCAAAAAGACCAAAGATTTTGAACGAGAGGTAATTGATTGATACAAACTTTATAAGCAGTGTCAAAATATTTAATAATACATTTCTCAATGCAATCGATTTTAAAATAATTCACATTTACATAGGCAGCTTAAGCAAAAACTTTGAGGAATTTTCTTTGTTTCTTGACAGTTTTGTTACAGAGTTTGATGTAATTGTGCTGTCCGAAACATTTATCCAGTATGATATAAACAAAACTCCCTTCAATTTAAAGGGTTACAATATTCTTTATAACAATGGTAATGTAAATAGGAATTATGGTGTCATTGTATATATGAAATCGCAACTAAATTTTGAGTATAACACTGTACAAATGGGATACAAAAGTATTAGTATTATTATTATTGGTATTATCTCAGTAAACAATCAAAATGTTCTTCTAAGTTGTATCCATAAATCACCTAGAATAGACGAGGTCCAGTTTAACATGCATTTACTTCAATATTTGGATGATAGGAAGAAATACAGTTTTCATAAATTGGTTGGGGATATCAACATTGATTTATTAAGTGATGTCGATTATGTTGAAGAATACAAAAACATCTTAACAAAATACACATTCACATCCTACATTAATAAAGTTACAAGAGCAAGATCTTTGTTTGTTTGTTTTGTTTAGATCACTTTTTCATAAAAGGACCAGCCCATATAGTAAATAATTCAAAATCGTTTATCTTTGATGTTGACATCACGGATCATTATCCAATAGCTATTTCCATCCCTCCTAATAGCAACTCAAAAAAAGACAAAGATATAATCGTAAATAAAAATACACTAATTATCCTAGTTTGAGACATGTCTTGCAGAGGGAAAATTGGTTGGCAAACGCTGCCATGGAAAATTTTATTAATAAATTATAGACGTACATAGAAAATAACACAAATAACATTTTTTATAAACATAAAAATAATTTTAAAAAAGAATGGATGACGAAAGAGCTACAAAAAACAATTAGGGAAAAAAACAATTATATAGAGACTTAGTTAAGAACCCGAACAACCAATTATTAAAAAGCGGTTACAACAGTTATAAAAATAAATTGCGGGTGCAAATAAAAAATGCTAAGCGTAAACATGTACAAAATGAAATTAATAAAAATCAAACTTCTTCGTCTGCGTTGTGGAGTTGTGTCAATCGCATCTGTTCTACCTCCAAACCTAAAACACAGATTAGACAGATAATAAGTGAAAACAATGAGAAAATAACAGATAGATTAAAAATTGCGAACGAGTTTAATAAATTTTATATTGAACTGGGTACAAAGCTGGCAGAAAAAATAACTCCCTAATTATCGAAATGATTTTCCCATGCTGGCAAATACAATGCTCTTATGTAACGTAAATGTACAGGAAATTGAAAAAGTTATAAAAAAACTGCAAACGAAAAAAGCTCCTGGATGGGACTGTATTAGAAGCGAGACTCTAAGAGAGATTTGTTTTCAAATATCCGAACCCTTAACGTTTCTTATAAATAAATGTTTTGAGAGTGGATGTTTTCCAGATTGTTTAAAAGTTGGCATTATTAAGCCATTATATAAAAATGACAACAGAGAAAACGTTGAAAATTATCGTCCAATATCAATACTTTCAGTGTTTTCTAAAATTTTTGAACGACGATTGTTAAATTTCTTGATAATTTCAATATAATCTCAGACTTTCAATTTAGATTTCGAAAAGGGAAGCCAACACATGATGCTATCAAATCTTTAACATCCCAAATATACGACTCATTAGATTGAAGTAACCCTTGCATGTGCGTTTTTTTAGATTTAAGCAAGGCTTTTGGCACTGTTTGCCACAATAAGTTACTTGATAAACTAAACCGTTCTGGACTGAGAGGGAGAGTATTTGAGTTGCTGCGTAGTTATTTGTTCAATCGTAAACAGTGTGTAAGCATAGATGGTGTTTTGAGCGATATGAAGACAGTAACATGTGGCGTACCACAGGGTACAGTTCTCGGACCTCTACTGTTTACGATATACGTAAATGATATGTTAAATTTAGACACCAATAAGTACAGTTTTCAGTTTTGCCGATGACACTGTAATTTTTGGACCGGCAAAAACATGGCAATTGTTAAAGTTACAAATTGAGCAGGACTTAAAGACTCTCAAAACGTGGTATCAGTACAATAAACTTACATTGAATTTACAGAAGACCAAATAGCTACCTTTCTCATTCTATATATATAAAATCAACTCCCAAACATCGGAAATCTAACAGTTGAAATGACAGGAATTCCGCAAGTAACATCGTTTAATTATCTTGGTGTTACTATTGACTCAGCCCAAGTGGAATCTGCAAATTAAATCTATAGTAGAAAAAATCAGACCACTTCTATCAAAATTTAATTACCTACGAGATTTTTTAAGCCGAAATATATGTCATTAGTACAAACTCACCTTTCCTATAGCATCCTGGGTTGGGGCGGGGTCTCTGAAAACGACCTGAAAAATCTAAATGTGTTGCAAAAGTGGTTTCTAAAAATAATTTATAGCAAACAAAAAACTTACCCATCGGACCTACTGTTTGAGGAGAATGAAATTCTCGAGATACGTCAGTTATACTGCTTTAGTATATTAAAAGACATCCAAATGCTATGCACTTATCATACCATAAACAGACAAAACAAGGACGTCTATCCCACAGTTAGAACAAAAACACACGGACAACGATCATTATATTCTCACCTAGGTTATATAACATGCTACCAGCATATATAAGAGAACAAACCATCTTTACAAAATTTAAAAAAGATGTCAAGATATGGATGTTTCAGATGGGCAGACGACTTTTTGATAACCTCATTAACTTAAAATATCAAACGTAAATAAGCCTTGAATTATGTATATTCACATGTCTAGTGAGTTAATGTTTTTATCCTCGTTTTATTTTTTTTATTTTTGCTTACATGTATGAGTATATATTATATTACTATAAATGTAACAAGCAGATTCTTTGCCTCGTTGTTATTATTGTAATTATTATTGGTTTCATTTAATATTGGTGTGTCACGCATAAGCATTTCGCAATGCTTCAGTGAAACAAAACATTTATTCCACTTAAATCAGTTTTATAGATTATGTTATTGTAAAGTTTAAATTGAATAAATATTATTATTATTATATTATTACAAAGCAATTCTTCAAACTCAAAATTACTACATATTATCATGATTAAGAAAACAGTGGAAATTAAATCAGATATTGTCCACACAGATCCAATTTGGCATTTCTACTTAGTCGCAACAATTACATTTATTGCGAACTTTGCGTACTCTGGGTGACCTCTTCATAGGGGATGATAGTTTGAAATCACGACTCGCTTGACGATTCTCTGGGGGCTTCTTTCTTTGTAAGCGCAAGTTCGGCTTTTTGAAGTTGTGCCCGTCGCTGTAAGAGGTTGAATTATCCAGGATAATTGTGCAATGGCGTCGTTCTAAGATCAGTTCACCATTCGAACTTGAGCTATCCCGCTCAAGAAGCAGTCAAATCTGGAAACTCGACAATTTGTTTGGATGAGGGCTGAAACAATGGCTCATGAATTGATGATTCGGATGCGAACTTTCTCATGGTAACTGTATACTTATGAAAAAATGCAGGTCTAATATCATTGATATGGACGCCTATAATCTTACCATTTCTCAAAATCTCGTAGGTTACATCACCTTTAGTACCAACAACCTCATGGCCTGTCCATTTAACATCAAAAAGGTGCTTAAGTTTGTGATTATCTCTAACAATTACAAAATTGGCTATATCCAACTTTAGTAGAATTCTAAAATTTCGCGGGGCGTATTTCTTCTGATATCGCACTTGATTATGGAAGTTATCTTTGCCCCTCCAACACCCGCATGGAGAGTCCCAAAAAACACAAAATCACCAAAAGACCTAGCCTTAGGTAGTGAAAATCAGCAGTTACCTGCCCTCTGGCGTTACACCGTAAAATTAACAAAAAAAAATGCAAAAATTAGTTTAAAATTGATTCTACAGCACTATATATGTATGTATTGTATTGTTTGTTTCAGGTTCAAGGCTTCTTGGTAGTGGTGGACGACGTTCTGGATGAGTCGGAAACTCGCAGAGGTGTCGCATGTTGGTACCGCCAACCTGACGTAGGACTGTCAGCATTTAACGACGCCTTAATGGTGGAGAATGCTGTATATGCCCTTCTTAAGAAGTGAGTGACACAAAACCGCTAAAGTACAACTTATTAAGAACAAACAATCCTAAAAACAGGCATATTATTTAAGGTGGTAAATCTTTTAGCGCAAACAACATTATTTTACATTATTAACATTATTCATATATATGCATTATTCACATTCCTGAAAAACTAAAACAAGGAACGTGAGATCTCGATTATGGCTATAGTAGAATATTATCTATAGTCTAGAAATACCAACCCAAATTCAACGTTCCCAAATATTTCATAGCAATCTACTCCGGTGTTTTAGTTGCTTATTTAAAAATTTGGCGCTATTTTAAAATGATCAAATACAAGGTGATTAATATTAATACCAAAAACTTAAATGAAAAAATCTTTCTTTTTTTGGAGTCCACTTTCATAATTTTGTATTTGTTTTCTGGTACTTATTTTACATGTAGATTATGAATATACAGAAAGTAGAACTTTCCTCTTTGTTCTTCAGAAATTTGCCCCAAAACTAAATAGTTTTTGTAGTGTAACTTTTGATAATTATAATATGTTGCATACAAATTTTTTGAAGAAATATTGTAGCTTTTGAAGTTATTATTTATTTTGAATTTATTATTTGGTCAGTCAAAAATCACTAAAAATTTATAACATTTTTCTTGATTTTAAAACCGTTGTCAATTGTCTATGTCTATTCTTATTACATAACCATAAATGTGTGGAGGCACTGCTAACCACTACCTCCATATTGTTTCAGGCACTTTAGGGATCATCCCGCTTACCTGTTAATGATGGAACTCTTTCATGACGTTATATTTAAGACGGCGATGGGACAGAGTCTGGATTTGATGTGCATGGACAATAATGGAAAACCAAAATTAGATATGTTTACAATGCATAGGTGAAATGACTTTATTTTTCTACACACGTTTTGTTCAAATGTAAATTTGGAACCAATTTTTGAGTTCACATTTTAACTTTGAAGAAACTTTCTAAAATGGAATTTGACTATTATTAATGTAATAATATTGTAATTTTTAGATATACTTCGATTGTGAGGTATAAGACTGCATATTACAGTTTTCAAATGCCTGTGGCCCTAGCTATGTACTTGGCAAATTTGCACGATACTGAACAGCATAGACAGGCTAAAACAATCCTCTTGGAAATGGGGCAATTTTTCCAGATTCAGGTAATTTTTCCTTTTTTTTCTAATCGCAAATACTGTCAACTGACGATATGCAAACTTCAATATTACAACCTGTATATCATAGCAAAGCTTGCTCAGCCTTTTTAGTTTCACCTTTTTCGCCTTGTGTGTGAGACTGATAACAAAAATATCTTGGGGAAAATTTTCAACGTTCCCTAGTATATAGAAAGCTAGGAACAATATATTAGTCTACCTTTTATTTCTGTTTTCTTTCAGGACGACTTCTTGGATTGTTTTGGTGATTCCGCTATTATGGGCAAGAAAGGGACGGACATTGAAGACGGAAAATGTTCTTGGCTGGCTGTAGTAGCTCTTCAGAGAGCGAGTCCATCCCAAAGAAAAATAATGGAGGACCATTATGGAAAATCGGACCTCGAATCAGTCCAGGCAATACGACATCTATATGAAGAATTAAGTTTGCCAAATACTTACGCGATCTATGAGGAAGAAAGCTTTAATATTATTAAAACTCACATTCAACAAATTTCCAAAGGTTTGCCTCATAAATTGTTTTTTAAGATCATGGAACGTCTTTACAAACGAGAATGTTAGAGGAGTGATTAATAACATTTTATTTGTAAAGTTTGTAAAAGATTTGATTTGAATAATGTCTGTATTGCTAGTATTTTAATATTTAACCAACAATTCTGTCAACCTAGTATGTAGTAAGCATTAGTTTTTATTTTCCCTTTGTTCAGTCATCTTCACCTTGTACTCGGGTATGTTCCTTTATAGGTATTTTAATTTAATATATCCATATTATATTTAAAGTTTTTATAGATTTTTTACTGATATGATTTTTCTGTTTAAAGCAATAAATATTATGCTTGCTTCAATTTTTCTTTAATTTGTAGTAATTTCTAGAGAAGTAGCAGATGTCATTTGCCTTTGCCTATTCCAAATATATATATATATATATATATATATATATATATATATATATATATATATATATATATATATATATATATATATATATATATATATATATATATATATATATATATATATATATAATGTATATATACATCTGGCTATCTTAAAAAAATCTTTTACTACTTTTTTTTGTTCCGCTGTCCATGGAACCAGTTCTCGTTTTTTTGGAATGTGCAAGTTCCGTTTTTTTGTTTGTTTGATTTAATGTCTCATTTTTGTCTGCAAGAGTGGGATGCTCATTGATTTCATCTTCAATTGCAAACTGTTGGTCAGTTTCGTCTACGTCTTGTGGGTTTAATTCTTCTTCTAAATTTAAGTCAATTTCTTCCAATGTCTTTCCTTTGTACTTTCCCGCTTTGCCATTTTCCATGAGAAGTAACAGTTTCGCAATTGTTGCAGTTTAAAAAATGTCATCTGGAAGTCCATAATTTTGACTATATACATTTAAAGTGTGGCCCATAAATGTTGCCAATTGTTCAATTTCATTTTGTGACATATTAAAGACTTGTGATGTGGCCAAATGTTTCTTTAATTTAGTAGAAGTTAAAGCTCGTGGGTTTCTTGCTCCACATATTCTTTATGTATATCTCTGCTAAATAGAACAGGAACCCCTCTTCCCCTTTTCCCCTTATTACTATCCGTTTAAAACTTTTCAAAAGAATTCTTTCGGAAGTTGCAATGGCGTCCGACAATTCTTCGTAACTTTGATTATTTTTTCATCAGATAATGTAAAAGACGTCAGCTTCATTCTCTGCAATTCACCTACCCTCTTTCTATTAAGAAGCAATAACCCGCAAAACACCGTTTCCATCAAAACTGTATAATTTTTTAGACTATTGGAACCCTCTTTAATTTTTTTTCAGCTTCATTGCTCTTTTCAATTAAATATGTTTTAAGCAATTTTAAATCAGACGCAAAAGGTATTATTGTTGTCTTATTCCAAGTTTTAGTATTCAAGTCTCTAGCAGCTTGGATAGATATTTCATGTTTCCAATTACTTTCCAATAATCTCTTGAATATACTTACATTTGCTTCAGCCTCTGCAGCACTAACGTTTGGGTAGCAATATTTTCGCTTTATAAAATTTAATATTGCAATATCACAACAATCTTTTAAACTTGTAGAGATATTCATAGCAAAAGTGGGAGATATGTAAATATCATTTTGTGTATCATATTTCGCAATAATATTGACACTTCGAACAACATAATTCTGAGGATGCAACAAATCATACAAATTATTAATTTTTTATTGATTTTTTTTTACTCTGTTATGACCTTTGACAATTCCCTCATTTTCCGTGAGCAAATATTGACATGATGTTGTTCTCTATGAGTATTTAAATATCTTTCTCCAAAGTCGCAAATAAGAGAATCTTTTTTTGCAATAAATTAAATCAGAATTAATAATTCTCTTAGAAAGAAGCAAATTGTGTTCATTACTAGATGATTCTGTTTTCTCTGGTCAACTTTTTATATATCTCCAAAGTAATTTACATGAATAATGGCCATAGCAATATTTACATGCAGCGTAGCTTTCTTCAGACGTGTCAACATAGGTTCTGTGAACAGGCTTAACCATAGAATGAGAGTTTTTAATGTGATTTTCTCGCTTTCTTAAAGATGCAATAAGTCTTTTCCTTTCGATAGTTTTTGGCTTAAAAGTATGTATTTTTTGCACTTCAATTTCGAGCAAAATTTAACACATCAATTTCACAATAAAAGCAGAAATCTGGAAATCGAGTTATTTTATTTTTTCTTATAGTTTTGTTTGCCGAATGGAAAACGTTTGCAGTTGCAGGACTGGAAATTACTAAGTTCACTTCTTTCTTATCCTAAAAAGTAGAAATGAAATGAATAAAACATATTATAAATATTTAACAATACATATCACAATTATTCATTCTCTAAGTTATTTTGCTTTTAATTTACTATTTATTTTTTATAGTTCATGTCATAGTCGAAATTTGGAATAATTTTGCTTTTCCCGATAAATTATAAGCATTTACACTATTTTTTTTGTTTTTTGATTGTTTCATTTAAAATTTTTAGACTATGGAAGCTCAAAAACTTAACATTTCAATAAATTACTGTGAGAAACTATTTTAATCAACAATTGACAAATTATTTATTTAGAACCAGAAGCTATGCAAAGAAAAAGAAGTATTAGAACTTCAACGTTTTTGCTACACAGCAAAATGCTTAATCTTTTTCGTTATGTTCTAGAACCTAAAACGTTGAATTGAAATTCCATTTTATGTTGATATTGTTGCGACTGTCTTTTAAAACTAATCATTCGGTTTTTATTTACCTTAGATGATGTTAACAATAAGTTACTTGAACAGAACGGTTTAGAATCGGCAGATGTCTAGAATAAATAATTCATTTTGAATTGTAATTTAAATTGTAAACCATAGATTACCGAAACTAGAGAATATTTCAAATCAGTAACTTTATCTAATGAGTCGATATATTTGAATCTTGGTTCCTGCAAATAGTTAAGTGTTAAGGCGTAAAGGATAACATTTTCAAAGTTTTTAAAAGTTGACAAAAATGAAATGACAATCTTACAAGTTCGTTCGTCTTCGGAATTTGAGTCCGACGGATAATATGTGGGGCCTTCATCTGAGTTCGATGAGAATTCGAAATGATCTAAAATGATAATATAATTTCAATACAATCATATCTATAAACATGTCCTTTCTCCATAAAATCCCAAAATTCTTAAAACTGAATATCCACCTAACAAATTTCAACAAAATGCGATATATATATTGCTTAATGGTTTCAGTCTAATCAATGCTAAACTCGCTAATTAAAGTTAAGTTATTAGTTTTAATTTCAAATTTCAAAAGCAAAATGAAAGTAATTCAAATAACATTCGAATAATTTAAATGGTTATTCTGCATGAAAAAAGTTTTTTTTTTAATATGAACATATGTATATATCGTTTTCGAGATACAAGGTGCAATTTTTTTTCCGTTTGTAATAAATATTATTCAACACGACTTTTGGTTGCTTTGTAAACACCATATGCTCCTGTGCTGTGATTAGAATTGTTCTAAGTTTGCCATCCTGTATCTTGAAATTTATTTTCGGAATATGTTCATATGATTTTTTTTATTTATTCATGTAGAATCATTTCTTAAAGTAGTTATTTCCGGACACACATTTAGGAACGTTTAGTCATGAAATAAATACCCTGTTTATTAAAAAAAAATCTGGTTATTATTTAGTTATTACTTTAAACAATAGTTGTATATAATAGACTAAATTTTGCACTGACTGGTCATCCTGCGGAAGAGAAAACAAGCGTCAAAAAGAATTGAATTTTATTTTTTATTAAACTTCTGGATTCCTCCTGCGTCGGTTTTTGTCGAGTCGAACACTTCGAACACACGAACGAAGTGTTTTCGGAGCGCGAGCATTGAAGATGCCAAGTGAGATTTTGGCGAAACGTCTGCAGGATTCCAGTCGGAGTTCAACGAGCGAACGGATGATATCCCGGAATATAGTGTCATCACATTTTTCCATCCGTGAATCAATACGTGAGAATATATATATATATATATATATATATATATATATATATATATATATATATATATATATATATATATATATATATATATATATATATATATATATATATATATATATATATATATATATATATATATATATATATATATATATATATATATATATATATATATATATATATATATATATATATATATATATATATATATATATATATATATATATATATCACTTGGAATTTCTTCTTATATCGACCGTACTAAACTTATTTGAATTCAAAGGATATCGGGTAGCGGTCCGTGGTTAAAATAGAAAGCTCCTTTTTTCTTTAACACTCAATATTTCGTCAATTTATTTGTTGACTCCTTCAGGAGTGAACTAAAATTTAATGAAAACAACAGGTCAAACTATATAACAGACAATTAAAACAATCGTGAGAAATACTTACAAAATTAGAGTCTACCACATAGTTCCTCAAAAACCATACTTTACAGTTAAGGTAAATGAACGAAGCGACATAATGAAACAAACGGATAAACACTTAGTATACAATTCTTAATAATGGTAGGCAAAAGTTGCGCTAACGGGGGTAGCGAAAAAAACAAAAAAAAACAATCAAAAAAAAAAAACAATCGATCTAAATAATGACAAAAAAGGGGCATCAAAATAACCTACTCCGTGGATCAACAACGCAACGCGAATACGCTACTCGGTTGCCGAACATTACATTATCTGTGGTTTAACTGAAAAATGTTACAGTATATATTGCTTATTTGTTGTGTATCAGACTTGTAATTAATTGAATCTTTGTTTTTGTTAATATGGCACATTTCAAGAAACAATCGGGCTTTATAATTATTGATACATTGCAAAATTTTTGGATTGCTGTAGTCAAATTCATGTCCTGTTTTTATGTAATGCTCAATCACTGCACAAGTATTCTTATGAATACGGCAATCACTTTTGTCCTGTGTTAAACGTTGTTTTAACCACTGTGAGGTCTGTCCAATATAACAGCCTTGACAACCCAAACACGACAATCGATATATGACATTACAGTTATATAGTAGCGGAGTTGGATCTTTCACTCTAGAAAAAAGTTTAGAGACTTTTTCAGTATTATATTTAGCAATTTTTATTTCCTTGAATTCTTTGAAAATATTTATGATAGATTCTGTGAGGTTTTTAATATAAGGTGTCTTTCTGTAACACATCCGAGCGTCTGGTTCCTCTGTTGGACCCTCAAATGTGTTGGAGTTATAGATTAATCTCTTAAGTATATGTTTTGGATATCCGTTATTGACAAAAACGTTGAAAATTTTTTTCAGGTTATTTTGAACAAAACTG